ATTTTTTAGTTCTTGGCAGACACAACATCTTTGTTGGTATGTGGTGCTGAGGATCGAACCCGGGCCGCACGCACGCCAGGCGAGCGCGCTACCGCTTGAGCCACATCTCCAGCCCCCTGGAATTTTCTTTGTGGAATATTTTTACATTATGTTTTTTGTTTGTTTGTTTGTTGTTTGTTTATGTATGTGTGTGTGTGTGCTGGAGACTAAACTCAGGGCTTTTCACATGCTAGGCAAGCATTCTACCTCAGGGCTATGTCCCTAGCCCCTGGTATGGATGCATGTGTCACGCACACACACTATAGATATCCTTATGTATATACATATAAATAAATATATACATGTATATACATATATATTATATGTATTTGGTACTGGGAATTGAACCTAGGGCCACTTAACCACTGAGCGACATCCCCAGTTCTTTTTTTTATTTGAAGACAGGGTTTCTCCAAGTTACTTAGGGCCATGCTAAGTTGCTGAGGCTGGCCTTGAACTTAAATCCTCCTGGCTTAGCCTCCCAAGTAGCTGGGATTACAAGTGTTCACTATTGTGCCTGGCCCCCTGGAATATTTGAAATTATGAATTTAATTTGTTTAATTTACATGTATGGGTTCACATTTCTTATTTTGTCTTGATTCAATTTGTCCAGTTGTGCCTTTAAAAGTATTTATTCATTTTGTGTCATTATCAAATTGACTTCTTGGCATAACTTGTGTATTGTAGTTTCATTATTATTTGTTTAAATTTCCCTCAAAAGACTGCTTCAGTTGCATCTCTCACATTTGGTTACATTTTTTTTTAAAAGAGAGAGAATTTTTTTAATATTTATTGTTTAGTTTTCGGTGGACACAACATCTTTCTTTGTATGTGGTGCTGAGGATCGAACGACGGCCGCAAGCATGCCAGGCGAGCGCGCTACCGCTTGAGCCACATCCCCAGCCCTAGATTACATTTTTAAAAATATTTTTTAGTTATAGTTGGACACAATACTTTTATTTATTTATTTTTAATTTTTTTTGAGAGAGATAATTTTTCAATATTTATTTTTTAGTTATCGGCGGACACAACATCTTTGTTTGTATGTGGTGCTGAGCATCGAACCCCGGGCACATGCATGCCAGGGGAGCATGCTACCGCTTGAGCCACATCCCCAGCCCTTATTTATTTATTTAGTTTTATGTGATGCTCAGGATCAAACCCAGTGCCTCACACGTGCTAGGTAAGTGCTCTACCACTGAGCTGCAACCCTAGCCTCTTGGATTACGTTTTAAGTTAAAAATTCTGATTTCTGTTGTGATTTCTTCTTTAACTCATGGATGTTTTAGAAGTACACTGATTGATTTCCAAATATTTGAGGATTTTCCAGCTATCTTAATGTTATAGATTCTTAACTGTGTTTAGAGAATATACTCTATAAATTCAGTTTCTTTAAATTTACCGAGACGTGTCTTAAAGTCAGGAAATGGTTGGTTATGGAGAATGCTCCATATACACTTAAGAGAATGTCTGTGCTAATCTTGTATGTGGTTACTTAAAAAATGTCAAGTCCAATCAGCCTACAGTGGGGTTTCAATATTCTATATATTTATTTACTATTAATTTTTACTTGTTCTGTTAATGAGAGAGAAGTATTGATCACCAAATATAATTGTGACTATTCCCATTTCCTTTTTATATCTTCTAAATTATGCTTCATCTATTTTCTGTAATATATTTATAGTCATTTCTCCCTTCTGAGACAGGTATTTTTAGGCATTTTCATCATGCTGTGAATACAGAGTGTACTTATGCAGGACTAGGTGGTATGGCTTACCACATACCTGGCCGGATGGCATAGTCTTCTACTCCTAGGCTATAAACCTTTGAAACATGTGACTATACTTAATATTGTAGGCAATTGTAACACAATGTAATCATTTGTATATCTAAATGTATCTAAATAAAGTAAAAAACCGGTATTCCTGTATAGGGCACTTATGATGAATGGAATTTACAAAATTGGAAATTGTTCTGGGTGAGTCAATGAGTGAGCAATGAGTGAATGTGGAGCCCTAGGACCTTATGTACACCACTGCAGACTTCATGAATACTCTATGCTTATGGTACAATAAATTCATTTACATTATTTTCTTCAATTATAAATTAACATTAGCATACTTTTTTCTCTATAAACTTTCTAATTTAAAAAAATTTTTCCTCTTGAAATAAAAGCTTGTTTATCTTAAAACACACATTGTGTTGTAACTATACAAAAATATTTTTTTCTATTTTTAATATTTTTTTTTTACTTATTAAGCTTGTTTGTTTGTTTATGTATTTATTTATTAGTGCTAGGGATTGAACCCAGGGCCTTGTGCATGGGAGGCAAGCACTCTACCATCTGAGCTATATCCCCAGCCTACTTATTAAGTTTCGTTGTTGTTAAAACTAAGACATAGCCTGCCATGGTGGTGCATGCCTGTAATTCTAGTGGCTCAGGAGGCTGAGACAGGAGGATTGAGAGTTCAAAGCTAGCCTCAGCAACTTAGCGAGGCACTAAGCAACTCAGTGAGTGAGACCCTGTCTCTAAATAAAATATGAAATAGGGCTGGGGATGTAGCTCAGTGGTTGAGTGCCCCTTAGTTCAATTCCCAGTAACAAAACAAAACAAACAAAAAAAACCCACCACCAACAACAAAAACACCTAAGACACAAACATACACATTTATCATGGGTCAACACTGAGGATCATAAATATCGTTGTCTTCTGCCTCCACATTTTGTCCCACTGGAAGATCTGCAGGGGCATAAAGCTGTCATGTCCTATAATAGTGCCTTCTTCTGGAATCTTTTCTGAAGGACCAATCAGAGGGTATTTTTATAGTTAGTTTTTTTTTTTTAAATAAGCTTAAGGAGTATACCCTAAAGTAAGGCTAAAAATTATAGTAAGTACATAAACAAGTAACAGTTGTTTATTATCATTATCAAGTAGCATGTACTGTACATAACTGCATGTGCTATATTCTTATACTATGGGTATGTTTACACCAGCATCACCATAAACCTGAAAGTAAAATGTTGCATGACATTACAAGGGCTTCCTGTCAGTAGGCAATAGGAATTTTTCAGTTTCATTATAATCGGAGGGATCTACCATGGTACATAAAACATCTTTATGTGGTGAATGAATGCATTTTAAACACTTTATTATTGTACAGTAAATAATATGCCTACTTTTTATTTTGTGATGCTGGTATTGGAGTTTTAAATTTTTTATTTTGTAATATTTTTGTGAATCCTCTGATAAGTTGCCCATTTGGTTCATCTTTTTGAAGAATCATTGGGTTTCATTGATGCTCTGTATCACTTCTTTATTCTCTATTTCACTTACTTTCACGGCAACACCCCTCCTCATTTAGTTTGCTTGCTTCCTTTTTTTGCATCTCTCTCTTCTTTTGAATTGAACCCAGGAGCTATACCCCCAGCCCTTTTCATTTTTTTTTATTTTGAGATAGTGTCTGGCTAGATTGTTGAGATTGGCCCTGAACTTGGCCTCCTCCTATCTCTGCTTTCCAAGTTGCTAATTTGCTGAATTAACCACCAGTATGCTTGGTTACTTTGCTCTTTTTTCCTTCTTTTGGAGTTAAACCCAGGGGCACTCAGATCACTAAGTCACATCCCCAGCCCTGTTTTGTATTTTATTTAGAGACAGGGTCTCACTGAGTTGCTTGGTGCCTCACTTTTTGCTGAGACTGGCTTTGAACTTGCAATCCTCCTGCCTCAGCCTCCCGAGCTGCTGGGATGGCAGGTGTGGGTCATCAATGGCATTCTTTTTTTTCTTCTTAATGGAAAATTAGATTATTCACTTGAGATCTTTATTTTTTTCTTTTTAAAAAATATTTATTTTTTAGTAGTTGGACACAATACCTTTATTTTTGTTTATTTATTTTTATGTGGTGCTGAGGATCGAGCCCAGGGCCTTGTATGTGCTAGGTGAGTACTCTGCCCTTGAGCCACAACCCCAGCCCTCTTTATTTCTTTTTAACATAGGTATTACAGTTATATATTTCCCTCTAAGTGCTCCTTCATTTGCATCTCTGTAGTTTTGGTGTGTTGTCTCTCCATTTTCACTAATCTGAAAGTGTTTTCAAATTTTGATTTTATTTTATTTTTCTTTGATTCAGTGATTATCCTGTAATGTTTTGTTTCCATTAATGTGTGAGTTTCTCAAATTTCCTTCAGTTAGTAATTGATTCCTAAAATTTTATTCCATTTTGGTCAGAGGACATAATTGAAACATTTAAAAAAAATAACTTTATTTAATTAATTTATTTTTTTATGTGGTGCTGAGGATTGAACCCAGTGCCTCACATGTGCTAGGCAAGTGCTCTACCACTGAGTTACAATACCAGCCCTTGAAACTTTTTCTGTTCCTTTAAACTTATTAGTATTTGTCTTGTGGCCTGACATTTGGTGTGTATCCTGAAGAATGTTCCATATGCATTTGAGAAAAAAAAGTGTATTTTGCTCTTGAGAGAAATGTTTATGGATATCCATTTGATTGGGATAGTTTATGGTGGTGTTCAGATATTCTTTGTTGATCACTTGCTTAACATATTCGTTAGTGAAAGTGGAGTCCTGAAGTCTTCAACTAAGATTATTGTGTGTATATTTCTTTGTTTTTTTAAGTTTCATCTTTATGTCATTTGGTGTTTGGGTGTTAGATGTATATATGCTTCTAATTATTGTTTGTGATGGACTGACACTTTTATTACTGATTAATCTAATTAATAAAATAAAGTCTATTTTGTTGATCATTAGTGTAGCCACTCCAGATTTCTTATGGTTGCTGTTAATATATATCTCTTTTTCACTGTTTTTTTTTTTCCCTTTAGTTCTCAGGATTGAACCCCCAGGGGTGATTTACCACTGAGCAAAAAGCCCTTTTTAAATTTAATTTGAGACAGGGTCTCAATAAGTTGCTGAGAATGGCCTCAAACTCCTGCTTCTGCTTCCAGAGTTGCTGGGATTACAAGAGGGCACCATAGCCATTACTTTCCATCTTTTTTATCTATGTATGCCTGTGAATCGTAAGTGTGTCTAATTAGACAGTGTGTAGTTTAATCTTATTTATCTAGTGTGACAATCTCTGTCTTTTGATTTGCTTATTTATTCCATTTCCATTTAATGTTAAAGAACTTTGTCTGTAATTTACTTTGTCTTATGTCTTTTCTCCCTCTTCCTTTACTGATTCTGCATGTATTAAGTGGATATTTTCTACTATAATATGTTAATTCTAATTCTTTTTCATTATAGTTTTCTTCATGGTTGCTCTTGGACTTACTTTATACAATTTGTCTATCAAAAACTACTTCAAAATTCATACTTAATTTCAGTGAGATATGAAGATGTTATTCTCTATTTCTTCTTTGTTGTGCTGATATTTTTAAACATCATATCAAATTACGTCATAAACCTGACAATATATTGTAAGAATTGCTTTATGCAAATTTTGGAAAAGTTTCTATTTCTTTGTCTCCAAGGTCACTGATCTTTTATTCTTCAGTACAGTCTACCATGAATCCCACCTCACATTTTGTACATTTGACATCTCAGATGCTTTTATTTTATCTTTGGAATTTTGATTGTGATCTTTTATGTGTCTCATGTAACTGCTTGAACATTTGGAATAAATTTATGAACACTGTCTTAATGTCATTGTCTGCTTATTCTAATATCTGTGTGAAGCCCAGTGTTTTCCTGGCAGCTGGATGTCAGGGCTGCCCTCTCTTCCCCCACTCTACTTCCCACACCCTGCACTCCACAACACATGAGTACATTTGTCTCTTCACCAAACAAGATGCTAGGATCATAGGCCCTATATTTCAAGCAATAAATGTCTAAATTAGATTCTGCTTTATAAATCCACAAGTTTGGATTGGAGCAATCACTAGGATTACTAGAACTAAGGGCAGGGAAAAGGGACAGGTGATTAGAAAAAACAAAAACTTAACAGGAATCTATCTATGATGAGAAATTATAAAGTCCCTCTTTTCTGCTAATCCCCAAATCTGGTTCATTTAAGAAGGTTAGGAAGTGGATGGGAAGTACAATCCAAGGAACACTTCTAGAAGGAGGGCAAGAGCTGTATAAATCTGAAAATTCATCTCTTGATGTCACAAATTTCCTGTGTGCAAGGGCTGGCTGAACCTTGTAAGGGTAACACTATAGTTTGGATCTGAAATTTCCTTCAAAAGTTCATGTTAAAGCTTGGTTCCCAGCATGTGGTTCTATTGGAAGATGGTGGGAAAAATATGAGGTGGAGCCTTGTGCGAGGTTTCAGTTATTGGGGTTGTGCTCTCAAAGGATGTCATGTGGCCATGGTTTCTTCTCTCTTTTTTTTCCTCTGCTAGATGCTGCCACCATGACATGCTGCTTTGCCAAAGGTCTAAAAGCAATGGGGACAATTGATCATGGACTGAAATCTCAAACTATTAGCCAAAAATCCTTTCCTCTTGTAAAGTGATTATCTTGGGTATTTTTTTTTTTTTTTTACAGTAATGGAAAACTGACTTAGACAATGAGAGGACAAACAAGAGGGACTAGATGCTTAGGGATAGGCTCGTGTCCACATTTTCTCACATTATACTCCTTGGAACACAGACATGTAAGTTTTTAGAGGCCGGTTGCAGAAAGAGAATTTAGAAGCTTCCCAAAATCTCAATGTTGGGGGGCACTTGAACAAATCTTGTATTTCTCAGTCCCATACAAGGCAGCTATCTCACACTAAAAAAAAAAAATAAATAATCAAAACCAAATTCATATCATTCACCGTAAGTGGTGACACTCTGAACAGCCCACCATATACTAAAAATGTACAAATCCAGAGAATCCCCATAAACTAGGAGTCTTCCCTTGCCCTCCCTTCTCTTCCACTTCAAGCCCCCCATGGTCTCACCTTTACAAGCCAGGAGAAATACATCAGAAGCCTGGGAACTGTCACTGCCTGGAGCAGAGCAAAAAGGGCCCATAACAGTTGTGGCTAAAACAGGAATTATGGGGTTGGGTGATCTTCCCCATGGGCTCCTGTCTACACTGTTCCCAACGGTCTCAGAGATCAATTCTCTGCATACTTATAGGCAGCCTGAGTGTAGCTGCCTCATTCTCCACCTGGGGGAAGAAAACATCCTGTGAGAAGCCAGGGTTGATCATGAGTCATGAGGTTCTAAAGGAATTAGCAAATCCTGAACCCTGGGGAAATTTCCAGAACTATGACTTCAGATCAGGAGCAGGATCAGGAGCCATGAGGAAAGAAGAGGTAAAGGGGTCAGGAAACTGTCTTCCTGGAAGGTACCTCATCAGGGACCTTCTTCTGTTACCTGCTACTGCTGGGAATCAGATTCCCATCATCACCATCACCAGAGTGATAAACTTTTCTTTTACACTCATATGCTTTAATAAGAGGCTCCAGGGGCTGGGGTTGTGGCTCAGGGGTAGGGCACTTGCCTTGCATGCAGGAGGCACTGGGTTCAATCCCCAACACCACATAAAAAAACTAAATAAACAAAGGTATTGTGTCCATCTACAACTAAAAGTAGAGAAAAAAAAAGAGGCCTCAGGCAAACAAGGCCTCAGGGTGGATAAGAACTTGTGTGTAGATGGTACTTCCTATTAACACAGGACACCTTTCTACCTACATTTGAAATCCCCTCATGGGACAAGAACTCTGACCCCACTCCTTCCCTACCTGCATTCTTTTTCTTCCACATAATAATACTGACCACAGTTTCAGTGACCACAACTCCAAGGAGAACTAGGCCAGTGATGATTCCCATGGTGGGGATGATGGACTGGGCAGACTGCTCTGGGAAAGGAAGGAAAGCTGAGGGGCCCTATTATGGTTTGGATAGTGTTTGTCCTCCTGGGTTCATTGGAAGTTTGGTTCCCAGTGTGGTAGTGTTGTGGTGGTGGGATCTTTAGGAAGTAGTGCCTAGTGGGAGGTCCTTAGGTCACTGAGGGTCTGCTCTCATAGGACCCTTAGTTCTCTAGAGAACAAATTACTAAAAGAATCTCTCTCCTTTCTATGGCTTCTAGTCTTGCCATGTGATTTCTCTCTCTTTTACTAACTCCTACCATTCTGGTGCCATCTGCTATGAGGTTGTCACCAGAACCCAACTTATGCTAGTGCCATACCTGTGAATCTCCAGAATAAACTTCTTTACTTTATTAAGTACCCATCTTCAGGTATTTCACTGTAGGAAAATTGACCTATTCATGCCCTGATGTCTAGCTGTCATCCCTGATTCTGCTGAGGGTCTCCAGAATGGCTCCTGTTTGCCCTAATGACAGATCTGTGCCCTCATCCCCCTCCTTACCCCATCTCAGAGTGAGGGCTCAGACAGCCCATGATAGTGCACATGGCATGTGTATCTCTACTCCTCTCCAGCGGGTACCTTCACAGCTGCCCATTTCTGGAAGTTTCCATCCCCTGCAGGTCCCCACAAGCTCCATGTCTTGCGTCTGGTCCTCCCCACTGCAGCCAGGTCAGGGTGATCTCCTTAGGATAGAAGCCAAGGGCCCATACCTCAGGATGACTTCATTGTCAGAGATGGGGTGGTAGGTCACATGTGTCTTTGGGGGCATTGTAGAAATATCAGGAAATTAAAACATTTCGCATTATCTCCCTTGGGCTACTGAAGAAGAATTCTTCTGATCATCCCAATAAGTGATGGGACAATTAAGATGGGAAAGAGTGTAAAACCTAGCCACTAGCCAGTCCTCAGTTATCTGGACAGTTCTAGAAGCAGGGTGAGACAGCCCAGGATGAGGTGCCAAGTCTGTGAGAGGGACCTAGAGTTGTGACTTGAGTGAAGTTCCAGGGATTGGAAAAACTGGAATCAGACTTCTAAAGACACTGCTTTGGGGGCAGAGAACAAAGCATGAGAGAAGTCCCTCTGTAATGTCTAAGGTTGCTGCCAGAGTCAAAGGGAACTGCTGGTCAGTTATTTCTGGGACTGTCCAATCCAGGAGAGTGTGAAGGAAAGGTAGAAGGGCCTAGGCAGCAAGAGCAAATTGACAAGTGAGGAAGGAGATCAGGGCAGGGCCAAAACAAAGGAGCATGGAGAGGGTCTTCTGATGAGGTCAACTTCCTGGTTGAGGAAAGTGGACACAAGCAGGGGACCCAATTAGACAGACACTTCCTTACTCCTCCTTCCAAGTGGGGGGTCCAATAGAAAACCTAAAACAGACACCGAGGACAGAGGGGGCATCAATCAATAATATTGAGGAGAACGTGGACAGGGAAGGAGATAAGAATAGGAGGAAATTTCAGAGACCATAAAAAGAGCAGACCCCCGCCCCCCCACACACACCTGATTCCCAGCTCTGGGGCCCTTTCGCTTCGAGAAGTCTCTGTAGCTTTTGTAATAAACTCGCTGCTTGCTTGCTATCTCTGTGTTCTGTCAATTCTTTGCTGAACTGAGACAACGAACCCAGCACCCCTAGATGGTAACAACTGGATCCTTAAGTCATCTCCGAGAGTAATACTCTCTAGTACAGTATTCGGAAACCCAGGGGGATTCCATCCTTTCTGGATTCAGGGGAGAGCGATATTCTAGCATTGGCCCAATTTTACTCCCCTTCTGGGGGGAAGGCAGGCAGTGACATCGGCAGATCATGGAGATACCCTCAGCCCCTGGTACCTGCGCGCTGTAGCTTCTCCTTACTGTACTGGAGGTATCTGCGGAGCCACTCCACGCACTCCTTCTAGAGGTAGGCCCTACAGCGATAATCCTCACTGGATGCCTCCCATTAGCGCTGGGTAATCTGAGCCGCTGCGTCCGCGCAGTCCAGGAGCGCAGGTCCTCTTTCAGCTCACTGTAATCCACCATCGTAGGCGTCCCGACAGTACCCGCGGAGGAGGCGCAGGTTCGGCCCCAGGATGCAGCCACAGAGAGTCTGGTAGGTATGAGCTCCTGGCACCGCCACTCTTGTCAGTCCGGCCCCACGGACTTTCCCCGCGTGACACTGAGGGGCGGTGATTGATCAGAGCCTTTTCCCAACGAAATCGAAAACCCAACTGGAGTGAATCCCTGGGGCTTTCCCCAGGTCTACGTGACCCGCGAGTCCCGCAGCCTTAGGGTGAAGCTGGGCCATTCCGACCCGTTCATGGAGAATGAGGGTGTCTCGTGTCCTTCGCTCTGGGCCCGGGTCACTTACCTGCGTCGCTCTGGTCTAGCCGAGCAGGTTGTTTAGAATCACTTGTGCACTGCGCTTGACGATCCGTGTGTTCCGGTCCCAGTACTCAGGTCCCACCTGCTCCATCCATGGCACCCGCGGCTCTGCCCTGGGATTCACCACGTCGCTATCGAAGTGGCCAAATATTTAAGTCATCCACGTAGCGGATAGAGATGTACCAGGCCTCCCCGCCGCAGGGCCAGGACACAGCCGTGGGAAGTGGAGTGGGAGAAGGAGGGAGTGGTGGGAGCCTGAAGACAGGCAGCAGCTGAGATCTCCTCCCGGCACTGGACCCGGGGATCCCACGTTAGTCGGATAGGAAGGGCGGGCGCTGGAGCCCGTGGGACTAAAAAGGGGCGGAAGGATAAGGCGACCAGGCAGCAGGGAATGAGGTGGGAGGATCAAGACAAGGAGCGATGCGGGTGGGGAGGGTCTGGATCTCCGTGCAACCGCTACCAAGGCTAGATTTCCCCGGGTCAAGTGTCCCCGCTGGACTGTGCCCTCGCCCCTCCCCTAACAGAGGCCATTTCCCTTTAGACCCTGAACTCACCAGGTCTCGGTTAAGGCCAGGGTCTGAGAGAGCAGCAGGAGGAGGGTTTGCAGAGCCAGGACCCCCATCCTCGGGGTCTGGAGGATCTGAATCTCTGCGGGTCTGTGGGAACTCTATAACCCAGAACCGCAGCGATGCCGATTGGCTTCTCTGGAAACCCAACACGCAATGGGAGCGAGAACTGGGACAGCGTCATGCGTGTCCAGGCAGAGGGAAGAGACACGGGTTTGGGAAAGGAGAAGTGAAACTCCTGGAGGTCGGGAATCCCCAGTGTGTGGTTTCCCTAACCCCGCCACCGTTCTAGGGTCAGAGACCGGTTAGAAATTAGTGTGGATTCCCAAAATAATTATGTTTACGTGGACATATTAAAGGTTAAAATCACTCTTAAAAATGTGACTCATTTAGAATATTACTAATAGCATGTTAACATATAATATTTTAAAGGAGAAATAACTATTTCCCAAAAGAAAACAACCACAGTGAGAAAAGTGACCTTTTTGCATTTTACAGTTTTGCAATTTTTTTTTGTATTTCTCTCATTGGAAAATTCTAGACTTTCATATCTTTGGCATTTAACCTGTTATTTTGGTTGAAATATAGAAAAAATGCAGCCATACACAAATATGTAGGAGGAATGTTTTTTCATAGCATTTTAGATAACTGGATATTTACCATTAATACTACACTGAAATGACACAGTGTTAACTTCTTTTTTTTCTTAAAAGTTCTATGAAACAATATCATTGAATAGTTCCTATTCTGTTGCTTTTTAGTACATGGGTTTTTCTTGCATGTTGAATGAACCTTGTGCCCATAATGCATCATATTCTTTAAATTCATGCATGGTTTGATCCAGTGTTGATACATTAAAGTACAATTTATAAAAAAAATCACATGTTGATATTACTGCAGATTTCAACAGAAAAATGTTTTAAGTATTGGGAAGCTGCCAAGTTTATCGTTGTGGATTCAGGTTCTCCAAGATTCTAATTTCTTCTTGAGAGCTTACATTTTATCACTGGCAAAAAATACTATCAATGGATTATCTTAGAGGGAACTGCTTAGGTTATTTTTGACAATGTTGGCCAAATATTTAAGTCTAAGTAATCATAATTTGTCATGCTTTTTTTTAAAAGTAGGAATGTTATTCTGTAAAAAAGGGGGCTACTACAGCTCAAAAAAATATCCTCTTGTCACTGGGTATGGTGGCATAAGCCTGTAATCCCAGTGGATCCTGAAGCTGAGGTGCCTCAGCAACTTAGCCAGGACCTAAGCAACTCATCAGGAACTTGTTTCAAAATAAAATATATTAGGGCTGGGGATGTGGCTCAAGCGGTAGCGTGCTCGCCTGGCATGTGTGTGGCCCGGGTTCGATCCTCAGCACCACATACCAACAAAGATGTTGTGTCCACTGAGAACTGAAAAATAAATATTAAAAATTCTCTCTCTCTCTC